AGGTATATCGGAGTAATTCGAGTGGAAGCAGCGAAGCATCAGCTTACGAGTAAAGTTGTTTTGGACACCCTCTAAAGCGCAAATATCTTTCCTACTGTGAGGATTAAAGACAGTAGTCCCCGATTCAAGAATGGGGCGGACATAGATCTTATAAGCTTTCAAAAGAACCTTGGGATTTCAGATTGAAAATCCGACGAAAGGCCTCAGCCACCAAAGGTTCATAATGATTTGAAAAACTGAGCGTTCTATCGTTGTTCTCGAGGCGGTTCAGTGGAACGTTTATTGAATCACAAGGGAAAAAGCCCTGCCTTGCTTTCGTATTTTTTCTTGAGGCTTGCTACCATCCACTCATAATTTTGGGGCACGAGCTGAATTCCTTTGATAGCTCTGTCCGACTTTCCCTTCAAACAGTCTTTTAGGAGCATCATTTTCTCTATGACCGTCAGTTTGCTGTTATTGTGCACAAGTGTTTCATATACCGCCCAGAAGTCGGGAAAATCCTCTGCATTTCCGTAAAATTTGGGCAAGTCCACACGAGGGGGTGGAATTGAAGGGGATGCCGGCTCCTGATGGTTGGGCAAGGCGGTGGAGCTGTTAGGTTCGTCCAGGTAGTCGGTCATGTCAGTAGGGTTATCGTTATGATAGTCCCTGTTGGTCAATCCCAATCTGCGGGCGATTCGCTTTTTGTTGCTGTACGCTTCGGTAAGACGAGTGTTAAGCATGATGCTAAGTTCCATAGCATCTTTCATCGCTTCTGAAAAATTTGTCTCTGCTTCGATGCTTTCAAGCTGGTGTTGAATGTTCTTCCTATCCTCTTTGTTTTTCGTGGTATCATAATCAAGTTTAATCTTATCCACAAGCGTCTGTATATTAGACCTTGCAAGATCAATCTGCCCGATACTACCTTTGAGAAGGTCAATGGTTTGTAGTATCTCCTCGAATTGGAGCTGATCGTCTTCAGAATATTTCTGTGGTTCTGCATAAGACTTGAACCGTTCTACCAGAGTCCTTAACGTGAGGACGTTATGGAGGATAGGCTTCCCGGATC